TTTTTTTTTTTTTTAACAAAGGCTATCCTTTGTAAGAATCAGAATTGGTACCTATCCTTTACCATGGAGCAATATAGGATGGTTAAATTTCAATGAAGAGGGACTAGTAGATGGCATAGTAGTCCATTGCTGGACTCCTATGGAGTCAACTACAGTTTGAGTCCCAGACCCAGCAGCTTCAAACCAGGCACTTTTGCTTGTGTGTCCAAAATCGCTCAAGTAGGAGGGATTGTGGTATGGCCATCCCCTCTGTGGGATGATTTCTCACTTTCTATCTCTCTGGTAAACACAGGCACCCTAGAGCAAAAATCTCTCCTAAAACAATATTCAGTGGTGAACCAGTTCTTACAGAAGCAACATCACCTTGGATCCATAGTATTGATACTAGTATGTTCATATGCCAGAATATTCAGATTTGCACCTGTATGGAAGTCTATTTTTAAAATAATACATCTTCTCCATGGTCATTATCTAGATGGGACTAAAACACCATGTGTGAAGGAATAGTACCTATTTAAAATTTTGCTGCCCAGAGAGTGATTTTTCACTTTTCTTCTCTCTCTCTCTCTCTCTCTCTCTCTCTCCAATGAGCACATTCACCCGATGGCAAAAACCTAAAATAAAACATAAATAAATAAAATTATATGATATTGGGACCACCATTGAGACTTTTTAAAGTTCTAAAATCAGGTAATATCTCCATTGTGAAGGTTATGAGCCATTGTAAATAACATCCATGGGAGGGCTGTAAAAATATAAGGATAGACCTAGCTTGTAGTGTAGTGGTTAAAGTGGCTGGATCCCATGTGGCCAACTCCATGGTTCAAGTCTTGGACCTGGTGGCTTGCAAAACACACTGTCTATATGTGCATGTGTGTCCAAATCTTTTTTTTTTTTTAAATTTGTAGAAGTGGTTTTTTTTTTGTTTGTTTGTTTTGTTGTTGTTTGTTTTTTTTGCTATAGGGTACATGCACTCCCCAGAAAGACAGAGAGAAACAGAGAGACAGAAAGCAAGAAATCACCCCCCAGAGGGGAATGGCCATACTGCAATCCCTTCTCATTCTCCTCTTGGAATCTTGGGCACGCACATGCGCCTAGCGTGAGTTTAAACCACTGGGTCCGGGACTCGAACCATGGTCAACTATGTGGGAGTCCACCAACATAGCCATTATGCAAACTGCTGGTTAGAATGTGTCAAGAATCTTGAGAGGAGAATGGAGAAGAAATTATGGCATGACCATCCTCCATAGGAGTTGTTTTCTTAATTCCCTTCTCTCTCTATCTCTATCACATGCACATGTGCCTTATAGCAAATTAAAACATATATAGAAGGATGTATTTAGAGGTAGAAATTTAAAAATATACACATATATGTGCTGGAAAATTGTATACATGAGAATAGCTTCTGTTTATCAGGAAATTTGGCTGATTACACAAGAGCCTGTTTATTTTACTCCTTCATTTATGAGATAGAAATACTAACTATATAATACTTACTTAGAGGGTTTTAGTTAACCATTTTATTCAGTATCAAATAATTATTTTCATAGTTTTGTCGAGCACATACACAAATAATAGAAAATCAGAGGTGATAAATATATCATAGTGTGAGTGTGAGCAGTGTTTTTGTTTATTTTTTTGTTTGTTTGTTTGTTTTTGGAGAGGTTTTTGCTATAGGGCGCATGTGCTCGCCAGATAGACAGAGAGAGACAGAGACAGAAAGCGAGAAATCACCCCTCAGGGGGGATGGCCACGCCACTATCCTTTCTCCTCCATTCTCCTCTTGGGATCTTGGGCATGCACACACATGCACCCGGAGTGAGTTTAAGCCACTGGGTCCGGGACTCAAACCGTGGTCGACTACGTGGGAAGCCAGCGACATAGCCATTACGCTAACTGCTGGTCCCCATGAGCAGTGTTTATTGGTGAGCATATTTAATTTGAATTGTGCCAAGGCATACATGTAGTTTTCATCGCAGTTTAGGTAAATATATGAACTCCTAATTTTTGACCATTTTGCTGTAAGTAGAAGTACTGAGTCATCAGAAAATTCATGATGCATTTTGCATAGAAAAAATACATCATGGCTATTTTTTATGATCCAGTAGTTTCAGTTAACATGAAAAAGGACACAAAATTAAAAATCAATACCTTATTATAAATAAATATTAATTCTGAGTGTTTAGTCTGAGAAAATTATATTAAACATGCAGGAACATTTTGTGTCTGTCATAGAATTATCACTGTGACTTTACAAATTAAATTTGCTAGCATAGACTGCTTGTAAAATGGAATGACTACCTATCCAACATCAGCCTGTCATCCCTCTGTCTCTGAGTGATCTAATCTATTATTTAATCAGGGGAATTATATTGAGAAGAATAGCCTGAGTCATGCATCTCATGCTTCCTTACGTGTTTTGCCGAGTGCATTTGAATGTATTTTAGAATCCACCTGCTCAATTTCTCTGTGTACATTTATACAGAGTAGTCTGTAGCCTACAGAAGAGATATTTTGAAAAAAAAATGTTGGAGATTTCATTCTTTTTATATGTGATCTGAAAACCAAGGACATCCTAATTTCATGGGGATAATTTGAGATGTTTAATTAATACATTAGATAATATATATTAAGTAGCTTTTTCCCCCAAAATGTCAGCCAATTCCTTGTGTTTAACATTTGCTCAATTTAATTAATTATATATTAGCATATTATCAACAGATTATGTTCAATTTTTGTGTCCCTTAAATGCTTTGCTTCTATCTTTTCCCCTTTACTCCCTCCATCTCACCTTCCCCCCATTTCCCACCTTCCTCCCACACTGACTCTAGTTTCCCCAGTAGCTTTTCATACCTTTATCTTCCTTATTGCTTCCCATGCATTACTGTAGTATGCTGCCAAATGTTGTGCTTCGTGTGTGTGTGTGTGTATCTAATGTGGTATAGTCAAATGTGATGTTTTCCATTGTATTTTGAGGAGACTACCTTGGAAATATGGACATTATTAGTCTCTACGATGAAAAATTTGAGAATACTGGTCTAAGTTTTACTCAAAAACTAATTATAAGGGATGAGTTGAAACAAGTATATTCCAACTGAGAAAATGGCTTAATATAATTAGCAAAAAATTGTTGCAGATGCACTTTGAATAAGTGAATGAGAGTCTTGATTTTCTGCAAGGGCAGAGAGCCACAAGGCAATTCACTGTCAAAAGGATAGTTCCAATAAGTGGAAAAGTAATCTTCGACCTAAAAGTCTTGTGGGATTTTCTGGAATCATTATTGATTGGATCTTAGTTCCTAACTCGGGAGACAAATTGGTTGAAGTTGGAATTTAATTGCATTTAGAGTTACAGTGCCTTTCTCCTCACTAGTATACCTCTTTTACAAAAACAAAAACTGATATACATGGAAAACATGCAGAAACAAAGGAATCATGACATAAATAATCCTTTATTGCTCTCTATTGCTGTCGTGTGTATCATTAGTTGTCAAACCAATCATTTATCCTCAACTATCCAATACAAATTTAGTAACATAAATTGGGAGATTTATATCCAGTGGACAATGTTAATTCAGTTGTGTTGAAAGGCAATTATTCTACTTACAGTATACCTTGCTAAGTATTGAATGTGAGAAAGCTCTGGTTTTCTCAAGCTGAACATGAATGACTCCAATATTGAAGAGATCGGGAAAGGTGTTAGTTAAGATGTAAATAATACCATAATGATATAATGTGAAGGCTAATAACTAAGTAGACATTTGCATATCCAATGCTACCATGTTACCGTATCAAAACTTTCTTGTACGCCTATTTCTTGAAGGATATGCATTGGGCAGATGAAGAGGTCAATGTGAAAATATCTATGCAAGCGTAAGTTATAATACTGTGTTTTGTCTTTTCCTATACAGCCTGAAAAGAATGACAGTGAGCCGGGCAGCCAGAGGATTAAACCTGTTTTTATTGAAGATGCTAATTTTGGACGACAAATATCCTATCAACATGCAGCAGTCCACATTCCTACCGACATCTATGAAGGCTGTAAGTAATAGACTGTGAATCCCATGTCTTACCTTTCTCATGGATGCTACATTTGGGAGAAAAAGGGAACAAATGCCACATAAAAGTCTATGGTAAACTCTAATTTATGTCAAAGAAAGAATCCGATTTTCATGAACAGCTTGTGTTCCTTTGGCCTTACTGCATGAGGATTTGTCGGGAAGCCCATTTCCACAAAAATATCCCTCTACGCTATTTTGTAACTATTGGGTTGTTGGGAAAGTCTTGATGCATTTCTGCTTAGCAAAACATAGAAAAATACATCATGATTTTCCCAGTGACCTAATATTTGTGCCTGCCCAATTGATATCAGTAACTTAAAACATAAATTGCTATATTCTTTAAAAAATCAAAACTATGCAGCTAGATGTCATCTACATGTGCACACACAAATTTTACACAGACTGGTAAAGGAAGGTTGTTCATTTCAGATTCTCTCCCGTTTTTTGACTTTTTGTTCATGTTTGTCAGCCTCCCTCTTTCTGTTTTTTTTTTTTTCTGTCTTACTCAAAGATACAAGTAAAGGGATCCATACTCCTATTCTATTGTGGCCTCAAGACAGAAAGAGCATTGGGAGGAAGGGAACAATTAATAGACCTAAAGAAATAGACCATCGTTGACATGATTGAGAAGAGCTCACTGTAGGAAGGGAGAGGAGTAAGGTATTTAGGAAGAAATGGATGTTCTCGTCTGTCAGTGGTATTCTCAGATATGTCTTTCATGCTAATAATGGCAGTGCCTGAGAACTCACCCAAGAGTTCTCCCAAGGACAGCTTAACAGTCACTGAGGATGACTTGTGATCCAGGAAAATGGGTTTTTGTTCAGTCATAGCCTGGTCTTTGCTGTTATCTGTTCCCTAACTTGCCCACACCCCTTTCTGTGCCTTAAATCCAATCTTTTCACATAAGTAAAGAGTAAGGGGAAACACTTGCATTTCAGCACTCTATAGATATCATGGCACTGTGCCAGCCTACATTATTGTGTGGAGGAAACTGAGGCCAACCTGAGAGTTAATTTGTTAGAAATTGTCTGTGGTTGATTTTCTGTCTTGTTGTCTGATATTTGGGAGGTTATTTTCCTCTTTCTGAAATTCAGTAATTTATACATGTCAATAAGATATTCTAAGTAAATGATTTTCTTAAATAGCTTTAATTTATGGAACATTTTGTTTAAGATTTATATTTACATGAAAGATTTGTGTTTGAAAGAAATTAAAGCAAAACCACAATGACTAAAACAGCTGTAACGTGACGAGACTTTGGTTTCTTAGATTCTCATGTGAAGAGGAAACCCCTCATTTTTCCAATACTGATAGTCAAGGTAGATTTTCTGTGCAAGTTAAAGACTCTATGACTATTTCAGAGCCAGTATTGTCCACAGGAAGTTATCAGGTATTTAACTTCACATGAGAATCTTTATTTTTTTAAATTCTTTTACTCTCTTTTTCAAAGAAAATTTAGAGTTTTTATTTTATGCTAGAATAAATATAAAATATGAAAAAGTAAATTTAAGAATACATTTTTAAGTATATTGATTTTCATATAGTTTACACATTTTTTCTCAGAATCCTAGAAAGGAAGGAGTTTTGACTTGATATACAGAGCATTTTATATCCAATTTATAACGAACTATTTCTAACATCTGCAGAGAATAATTTCAAAGTCTCAGAGAGTGAAAATCATTACTTTGAAAATGAGTAAGATAAAATATTTAAGTATATGTTCTTAGAAGTTACAAGGTACTCTTTGTAATAAATCATAATTTTTTTTTAAAGAGGAAAAGAAGTTTTGTTTTTGGATTATTTATTGGCTCTCATTTATCTTATTATTAACATTTCCTTCTTGGCTGAAATCTCATCAGTTAGAGTTTAACCTTTCTTGACTTGTACTTCGTTAAAATTTATATCCAGTGTTTTGGGCTACATGAGTGAACAACAAGAATAAAACCACAGATGTCAACAAGATCGGGAAAATTTAATAATTATTCATACTCTTTGTGTACTTCAGTGGAACATGCTAGAGGATTGTTTTAGGTTTCTGAGTTTAATCAATGTGAAAGTGCACTTTAATTGAAATCTTAGTTGAAAGAAAAAGCTTCTTTCATTTAACAAATATGTAGCTACAGTCTCATAAGAAATCTTGTTAAAATTTTCCAAAGGTGATTACTTTTGAAAAGTCCCTTAAATTGAAATGTAATTATTTTTGTTCAATGATATTTAAATTTTTAAAAATTATTTTCAGTGAGAGATTTTTGCTATAGGGCATGTGTGCTCGCCGGAGAGACAGAGAAAGACAGAGAGACAGAAGGTGAGAAATTATTCCCCAGGAGGGATGGCCACACCCCAATCCCTTCTCCTCTAGTTTCCTTTAGGGATTTTGGGCATGAACGCACAAGTGCCCAGTGTGAGTTTAAAGCTACCAGGTCTGGAACTCAACCCACTATGTGAAAGTCCAGCGACATAACCAATACACTATCTGCTGGTCCCAATATATTTAAATTTTTGACTTATATTTCTACCTGAAAGTTTACATTTTTGAGAATTTCACTTATTAGTTATTTTATTTTGGAGGACATACAACCATATTTAAATTTCAGATCTCATTTATGGGAGTAAGAGTATAGAAAATAAAAAACACATTCTGTGGGGCCAGCAGGTGATGTAGTGGTTAAAGTATTGGACTCCCACATAGTATCCATAATTTGAGTCCCAGATCCTATGGCTTGAAACTCACACTGGGTGCATGCCTGAATGCCCCAAATCCGAGGAGGATTATGGAGGAGGAGAGATTGCTGTGTGGTCGCCTTCCCTAGGGAATGATTTCTCACTTTCCTTCTCACAGTCTTTCTCTCTGTCTCTCCAGTGAGCACAAGCACCCTATAGCAAAAACCTTCAAAAAAAAAAAATCTGTAATTTTTTTCTGTATAATAATAGGTAACAGAAATATTTAAAAAGAGTATAGAAAATAAAGCTTAGTAAAACCTGGGACTGAATTTGTTTCTAATCACAAAGCTTCATTTTGAATCACTTTAGAGTCAAGAGAGAATCTCTGATGGAATTACTCTGTTGTAATTTTCAAGAAAAATTAATATTGATGTTTGTTTATATAATTATTATAGTTACAAAGAATGAACATTAATAAGGAAAATAACTTTTTAAATTTGCATAAAAACTTTTAGATACTGGATACTTTTGTCCTTACACTTACCCTGTAATGAAAGTAAGGCAATGATTACTTCTATTTTAGGAAGAAAAAAATCTTTCCTCACTATCAATGGAGAATAATCAAATTTTATAAAATGTTGAAAATTTATTCTAAGCTAAAAGATGACGACTGCCGCCAGCAAGCATAATCTAGTTAGACCCAAATGTGCTCGCTGAGGGCTTAGACACCTGGGGCAGATTTTAAAGTAGGGGGCCAGTAGGTGGCATGAGGGCTGAGGTTCTGGACTCCCACATGGCTGACCGTGGTCTGAGTCTTGCATTCTCACTTTTCCTCTCTCTCTGTGTCTCTGTCTGGTCAAATCGAACTAATAATAAATAAAGTTAAGGAAATAATGATTTTAAAAATATAAATAAAGGCAAAAGGTAAATTGGGAGAGGGAATGGGAGAGAGGATTATACTGATTGTATAGAGACAATTATACTTGCCTACCAGAATCAATAGCAAATTGTGTACTTCAGTGGAACATGCTAGAGGATTGTTTTAGGTTTCTGAGTTTAATCAATGTGAAAGTGCACTTTAATTGAAATCTTAGTTGAAAGAAAAAGCTTCTTTCATTTAACAATTATGTAGCTACAGTCTCATAAGAAATCTTGTTAAAATTTTCCAAAGGTGATTACTTTTGAAAAGTCCCTTAAATTGAAATGTAATTATTTTTGTTCAATGATATTTAAATTTTTAAAAATTATTTTCAGTGAGAGATTTTTGCTATAGGGCATGTGTGCTCGCCGGAGAGACAGAGAAAGACAGAGAGACAGAAGGTGAGAAATTATTCCCCAGGAGGGATGGCCACACCCCAATCCCTTCTCCTCTAGTTTCCTTTAGGGATTTTGGGCATGAACGCACAAGTGCCCAGTGTGAGTTTAAAGCTACCAGGTCTGGAACTCAACCCACTATGTGAAAGTCCAGCGACATAACCAATACACTATCTGCTGGTCCCAATATATTTAAATTTTTGACTTATATTTCTACCTGAAAGTTTACATTTTTGAGAATTTCACTTATTAGTTATTTTATTTTGGAGGACATACAACCATATTTAAATTTCAGATCTCATTTATGGGAGTAAGAGTATAGAAAATAAAAAACACATTCTGTGGGGCCAGCAGGTGATGTAGTGGTTAAAGTATTGGACTCCCACATAGTATCCATAATTTGAGTCCCAGATCCTATGGCTTGAAACTCACACTGGGTGCATGCCTGAATGCCCCAAATCCGAGGAGGATTATGGAGGAGGAGAGATTGCTGTGTGGTCGCCTTCCCTAGGGAATGATTTCTCACTTTCCTTCTCACAGTCTTTCTCTCTGTCTCTCCAGTGAGCACAAGCACCCTATAGCAAAAACCTTCAAAAAAAAAAAATCTGTAATTTTTTTCTGTATAATAATAGGTAACAGAAATATTTAAAAAGAGTATAGAAAATAAAGCTTAGTAAAACCTGGGACTGAATTTGTTTCTAATCACAAAGCTTCATTTTGAATCACTTTAGAGTCAAGAGAGAATCTCTGATGGAATTACTCTGTTGTAATTTTCAAGAAAAATTAATATTGATGTTTGTTTATATAATTATTATAGTTACAAAGAATGAACATTAATAAGGAAAATAACTTTTTAAATTTGCATAAAAACTTTTAGATACTGGATACTTTTGTCCTTACACTTACCCTGTAATGAAAGTAAGGCAATGATTACTTCTATTTTAGGAAGAAAAAAATCTTTCCTCACTATCAATGGAGAATAATCAAATTTTATAAAATGTTGAA